GTATAACAGTACTGACGAGTCGACCGCCGAGGATAACCATCTGTTCATCGAAGGGTTCTTTAAGAAGTACCAGTCATTTAAGGGAAATCCGTTTTATATCGCCGGCGAGAGTTATGGCGGTATTTACGGCCCGATGTTAGCCCAACGTATACTCCGATCGAAATCCGATATCAATCTAAAGGGTTTGTAATGTTTATACATTTTTGAATTGATTTGTTCAAAATAAGATTTTAGTTTTAGTAAATTTACATTTATTTAAATAATACTATAAATAATTTTTAAAAGATTAGAATTTAATATTTTTTGCCAATTGTTTGTCCAATACAAACGACTATATAGTGAATGGGTTTTATAATTGTTTTGGGATTCATATTAGAGTTAGTATTTTCAATCATCCTAAGCTGGCATTAGCAAGCATAATTTATTTTGTAATATATTTTTTTATTGTAAATTAGTGTCAAATTAATATGCTTTTTTAATCGCTTAATAACAATTAATGGCTACAAATATACACAATTTTATATACAATTCTTATCAAAACAGCATTTCCGACAGACATCGACTGTATTTATGAACATTATGTTCAATAGAGATGAATATCTTATGACATGTAAGGAAGGGTTTAGGAGTATCCTGGTAAATTTTCTTCCTATTTTAATTAAAACTCTAAAGACTTTGAAAGTGAAAGTTTGTTAAATAGTTTTATTACCAGTTTGATCATCATTTGGCGTATTTTATAAATATAAAATTGTGTATAAATAAACTTAAAATATTTCATAGCACACAATATATCGACTATAAATTGTGAACAATTTTTCCAAATATATTAAAGGGGGTTGAGGTGGAGGAGGGCAATGGTGGTTCTCTACTAAAAAGCACCCATGTATTTATAGGTGTTATTATTGGCAATGGAATCCAGAATTTGGACAAATATCAAGCTCAACCAACTGCCGACTTCCTATTGGGTCACGGATTAGTCAAAACGGATTTATTTGAGAAAAAGATTGAAAACTGTTGTCAATGCAAATCGGGAGACGTTCAACGCGAATGTGATTTCCTTGAACCTTTTAACAAAACGTATAAATAATTTTTTAAATAACTTTAAAATTAATTATATAAAATAATTTATATTATAAAATGCAGTATCAGGGTAACCACAATTTAATTATAATATTATATCATTTAATAAATTTTACTGTATTGATAGCTTAAGCATTTATATAAAATCCTATTACTGTAAAATAGTGATCAAGCTATTTGAATTTTATTCATTTACAGAAAATGCGATTCAGTGGAATTGATCGAGGTACATCCGGTAAACTACTACAATATTTACGACAAATGTCCGCCACCGACGGCATACATTACAAATTATAACAACTACTTCGCGCGGATGTACAGCAGACCACCGATGATGTCCTTTAACGCCAATCACTACGACGACTGTCCCACATATAAACACATCGATTGGATAAACACACCGGAAGTACGAAAGGCTCTTCACGTAAGTATCGATGACACTTGTACAGCAGACCACCGATGATGTCCTTTAACGCCAATCACTACGACGACTGTCCCACATATAAACACATCGATTGGATAAACACACCGGAAGTACGAAAGGCTCTTCACGTAAGTATCGATGACACCCATAAATGGACGGACTGTACGGATGGCATATACTACTATACAAAACCCACCCCACAATTCCCAGTTATCAAGGAACTTTTGGATGTCTATAATCTTGAAAAGTTTGTCGCATTTAACGGCAATTTTGACACAATGTGCGACCACATAACGACCCAATATTTTATCGATAGTCTGGGTATTAGTAAAATGAGTGGCTATAGGTATGTTCAGGCTTATTTTTAAATCATAAGTCATCAATAACTATATAATAAGTTTTATTTATACATAATTTTTTTTTAATTTTTACTAATTGGTTATAAAATTAATTATATCTGTTTATTATGACCATACCAGTATGATAGATAAAATTATTAAAAAATTTTTTAGACCTTGGTATAAATCGGACGGAAGTGTAGCCGGTTATGTCCAAAACTACAAAAGGGGTGTTACCTGGGTGTTAGTGTTGGCGGCCGGTCATATGGTGCCACAGAACCAGCCCGACTCGGCCCTGCAGATGATTAAAATGGTTATTGATATTAAAACTTAATTAACCTGTATAATTTATCAACTAATTATCATATTATATTCGGTATATAAAAAATTTAATAAATATACAAATATTATGCCAACTATTTTTACCCACATTTATGCAATTTTTAAGAATAAATTATTTTTATTTTAAACACTTTATTTCAATTTCAGTCAAATTGATAACAAATTCAAAGTTTAAAATATTTTATATAATTTATATATATCTTAAAACATTGGTTAAAATTCTTGAATTTTAAAACATTAAATTTAAAAGTCTAATCAATATATTAATACTATTTGTGTTTTCAATTGAATAAATGATTATTAATTGGAATAATAATTAAGTCAATAATTTAGATAATAATTTAAGTAACATTTCAAACAATCCTTATATAATTAGAGATTTGTTAACGTTTTCAAATGACTTAGAGTTAGAAATCAATGCATTCTTATTAAATCCGTTCTCTATTTGAAGGCTTTTATTGATTGGAATTAATGACAGATTCTTCACATCCAATGAAGTCTTTGTCGACGTCTTCGTATCGAATGAGTGAAGGGTTTCCTGGGTTTCGCTAATCGAGTGAATGGAGTCATCGATTTTGGGACTATTAGGACGACTAGATTCGGTCACTTCTGTCGAGTCGTCTTCGATGGTCAGGCATTTCGATGAGCGAGCGATCGGTACGACTAATGCGCCCGAAATGAAGATACAAATGCCAGTCAAATGAAACGCTAAGTTATAATTGCCAAACGTGTCGAACAACCAGCCTTTGGGTCACAGGTAAGCAAACATTGAACACCAATTCACAAACAATTAGTGTAGAGATCATTGAGTCTAACCTGCGATGGGAGGGCCCACCAGAGATCCGAACCCCTGAACTAATAAGAGGAGTCCGTAAGCGTTGGTGAATAAGTCCAATGAAATGAGATTCACTAAAATGACTGAAACCAATGCATAATTGGCACTAATTGTAAAACCATAGAGAGCTGCCAAACACGCCATTCCCCAGAAGTTGCGAACCCACGGCATTATCGACAGAGAGAAGCCACTGACGGCTATGAAACAGCTGTACATCAGAGAGGGGTCGACATAACGCTTGTCACCGAAATAGCCGACCAAAACCTGTCGTCAGATTATAGTTTAGTTAATCCGCAAATGAGACAATTAGTGGCAAAAAGACTCACAACTCCTAAAGTGTTGAATATTCCGATGATTGAGATTAGAAAAGAGGCGGACTCTGAGTCGGCCGCTCCCGAGATGGTCGCCTGATCGGGCAGATAGACATACGGCACGTCTACACACATATATAACATGAAGTTTGAGAAGCAGAACAATGAATATCGAAAGCTCTTGAAGTTCGAGACGTCTATCATATCTAAGAAGACATCCTTTAAGTCATAGAGAAATCCGTTCTGAAATAAAAATTACAGAAATTTCAGTCAAAACTCTATTGTCTTTCAATGCAATACCTTCTCATGAATGGCGACCATTGAGTTGCGGTATATGTCGGGAGCGCTGGACGCCCGGAGTCTATACTTCTTGATGTTAAGCATAGCGCTCCTGTAGGTGAGACTTCCTCTCTGGAGCCGTAGATTGCGTAACAGATTCGACGAAAGGGGCGACAATTCCGGTGCAAAGTTAGTCGCTTTAAGTATTGACGGGTTTGCTTCCAAACTCTGTTCCCTTTTATTGAGATTTTTGTTTGAATTTAGCATTTTTGACGAATTATTGTTTGTCAACAAATTGCTGTCAAATCTGAGACTCTTCGTGACCGTCGCTGACATCGTCGGACTCAATGAATATTGATTTGTGACTAAACTTTTGGCGGCGTTTGCGGTCCAATCGTCGCAGTTCTGCAACTCTTGAGACATGAAAAAGGCGACCAGTTTTGGGTGCCGTTGCAGAAGTCGCCGCAAATAACCGCCTTTCTTAAGGCTCAACTCACTGATCACTTCGTGGGAAACACCGTTCAACGGATCGTTGTGTTGGATATAAGTGGGAATGTGTATCAGTGAAGAACACAACCTCTTCTCGACGTTACCATTCATTTCCATCGCCTCCTCATCTCTCGTCTGGTCTTCACTGAAATTCTTGTTAAAAGACTTATTATTAACTAACAGTGCGTTCGAGTAATTATCACAAGCGGTGTCAGCCCTCTCGGAATCAGTGGAGTTGTTGGTGTCGGCGCTGGTGTTGAGATTGAGGTCTAAGTCTCGCATTAAGGCCCCGAAGTTTGCAATGTTTAAGAATATAGCGCCCAATATAAGTAGAGTCCCTCTCCAGCCGTACTCTTTCAGTAGGAATATAGTCAACGGTGCGAACAGAAAGGTGCCAAACCCTGACCCGCAAACGGCTAGACCGGTGGCCAGTGATCTCCTGCGCTCGAAATAGTAGGCCACGCTAACTATGCTCGTCACGTAACATAAGGCCAGTCCTAACCCCGCAAAACTAAATGCTATGAACAGGTGCTCCAAACGGGTAGCGAACTGTCCGGCAATAAAGCCTAAGGCAGACATAATTGAGCCACAGATGGCCACTCGCCGGCACCCGAAGTGGTCGGTCAGTGCGCTGGCGATTGGGCCAGTGATCAGTGGTATGGAGAGGAAGAGTGAGCCAACCCATGAGGTCTTTGACTTACTTTCGCCGAAATACTCGACTAATTCCATGAATATAATGCCGAAAGAGAGCGAAACGCCGTCCGATATCAAGTTAATCATGAATGAGGCGAACACCACAACCCAACCCCAGCCCCCATCCGGAGGGCTCTCCAGTCGTCGCAAGTTTTGGCAATTATTAGGCTTAAAGTGATTGGCGTTTGGATTATTGCTGGTCGTTGTGGTCGACTCACATGATGACAGACATGAGCTGCGCTTTGAGGTTGCATTTGTTTGGTTTGAATTGAGGTAAATGTTTAGATTATTGTTCACATTTGGATCAATTGAAGGCAATAAACAAATCGATTCCTCGAAAGTGACTTCAGTTCCTTTGACACCAGAGTCCTGTCAGACATACAAGAGTCTCAATATTTGCTAATCATTTCCATTCATAACTCGTTTTTTGAATTCAATGTCATATCAGATGTGGAATCGATTCATGCAAATGAATGCTATCTTTTCATTCATAACTCTAATTATGATAATACTGTCAATACT